GCCACCCAGGTGCCCCACCCCCAAATATTTTTTAACGGACTTTGGAAAAATAGTGTCTGGCTTTGTACAGATCACGTGTTCCTTCAGGGAGACCTTAGTTTGTGTACTTTGTAGCTGTGCGACCAGGGAAAGTCACTCTTCCTCTCTGAGGTGGTCTTTCCTCAGTTGTGCAATGTGGATAAGGATACCTACTTCATAGGCTTGTAAGGATGAAATAAAATCCTTTATGTGGAAAACGTACAGCAATGCCTGTCATATCAGATATTTGATAATGAAGGCTGTTGCTGTTAGTATTGTGTTTATAAGGCAGCAGAGAAGTGGTCACTGGGTTTGGTCTGGCCAGAGGGTATGGCCTAGAAGAGGAGTGCAGAGTGGGAAGTGATTCCCAAGCACCATTATCTGGCACTGGAGTTTTTGCAAAGTTGTGATTCCTTCCCTGGATCTCAGGCCAAGATGTTGCCCAGACACTAGACTGCTAAGGACACATCAGTCTGCCTGACTGTGCTGGCCTGTCAGTGTTGGGACTTGAGTAGAGTTGGGATTCCGCCCCCCCCCCCCCCCCCCCCCCAAATTGTGCTAGGACAAAGAGAGCTCCAGAACAAAGAAATGATTTAGCTTACCAAAGATTGCAGCTTGGGATAGCTGACGCCCCATCTCAGCTGGCTGTGGCCAGCATGGCTTTGGGGACATAACGTCTTCCATTCCAGTCTTAGCTAGAACCTTTTTTGTTCGGGTGTTTGACCGACTGCTGATACTCTCTGGTTGCTGTTTAAGCCAACATATTCTTTCTTTGACACAGTAAGCATTAACCTGGGAAGGTGGGCAGTAAGCTTAACTGATCCGGAATCTAGTCCTAGCGTTCAGAAAGGAAAAGAGAAGAGCCCAAAGGTAATTTTTACCCTCTTCTTGCTAACTTTTAAAAATTGGAATTGAATAGAAAGTACTTTCTTACAGTGTAACCGGGAGTACTGGAATGGATGGGCATTTGTGGAAGATCAGTTTACGGTGGTGGTTCACAGGAATAGGACCAAATGGGTGCGTGCTCCATCCACTTGATTCAAACCCAGGGGGAGGCAATTCCACAATGGTTTTGAGCTCTACTGGGGTACTTGCATATGAGTATAATCCAGAGCTTTTTTGGGTTTTGATCTAATTAAAAACACCGATGGAAGAAAAAGTAGCCAAAAGTAGCCATTAAAACTAAACTAGTAAAACAAACAAGGTGAGGCAGGAAAACGCAAAGTGACTCAGTGAGATGGCATGAGGTCATATGACAAAATAGTCTTTAAAAAAAATGTTGTGTTTGTCTTTAAGTTAGAGATCAGTTATAATTCCCTTTCGCATAAAGTTCTGCTAACATTTTGGAGGATGGCTTGTGTGCGTATGTGTGTCTGTATATATAAAGACACACACACATACGTATGTAGGAAGAAAATCAGTACTAAATAAGATGAATAAAAAGAAGGATCACCTGTAACATCATCTCTGAGCATTAACTATTTAAAATGGGAATTTAAGTAGTAAGTATTCCAAGGTGTGAATCGGCTGCCATGTATTTAACTGGCTGATTTTCAGTAACAACACAGATGCTCGCAATGTCCCCGAGATCTTCATTCAGTAGGTAGGGCCCTAGTGTATATACTTTTAGGAAACTCTGCAGTCAGGTTAGGAACTCCTAATAAGGAGCCGTATGTTCCACACAGATACTTAATGCATATATAGTGTCACGTCCAAGAAAGTAAAAGCCAGAGGGAGGGGGGACTGGTGGGAAAGCCAGAGGGAGGGGGGACTGGTGATGCGATATTTTTGAACTAGATAAAGGTGGTGGTTGTACAACATCCTGAATGTATGAGGTGCCGCTGAATTGCTCACTAAAATGAGTATGTGAATTTCACCTCTGTAAAAAACTACCCACCCCCCCAAGTGTTTCAACACTGACTTCATATACCTTTTGTTGGAAAAATAAATTGCTACTGTTTATATTGATTATCTACCTTCTGAATATTATATCCTCTTAATACCTTTATCTTAAACACATTTTTGTTGCTTATAGGATGCACCTTATCAATAGTACCTTTTTGTTTTTTTGTTTTTTTAAATAATAACAATAAAGATATTGTACTTTATTTTTTTTATATGAAATTTATTGTCAAATTGGTTTCCATGCAACACCCAGTGCTCATCCCAACAGGTGCCCTCTTCACCCACTTCCCCCCCTCCCCCATCAACCCTCAGTTTGTTCTTAGTATTTAAGAG